ATATTCACATGTTCGACTAGGATTGGCTAAAAGTTTTACAACTGAGGTTTAACACGCCCAGATGCAGTTTTATAAAGAAAACAGACTAGAAAAAGGTTTAGATACCAATCATTAAAAAATTTTTTAAAGATATTTCCTTTCACTTCAGCACTGGTCCTGCCATCTAAAAAACATTTCTTCTAAGAGAGTGCTTATTTACAGTCTAAAATGTGTTTTAGGAATTTTATCATTAAATTTCTCTTTAAACTTCATTAAAGAATACAATTTTGTACAAATAATTGAATGTTATGCTACTATTTATAAAAATAAAATCTGAAATCCAATAAAGAGAAGTTCTCTATTATTTATTTGATTCACAAATGTGATTTTGCCCTCACGATAAGATCAAAATGGCCATGGCAAGTGACGGGTTAAAAGGAATGAAATCAAAATTGATGGCCAAATTGGTAGCACACATAGTATTGATAAGAATTTTACAACAAATATTCATTCATTAGTTACCTAGGCAACATTTTTAGTTCAACTTGGGGCATGATGGTGAGTAAAATAAAATATGTGGCCTGACTAACCAATGAATGACTATTTGCTGTAAAATTCTTATCAATGCTATAAGTGTAGCTACCAGTTTGACCTTCAGTTTTTATTCCATTCCTTTAAGTTGCATGCTGAATCCTTTTTTGGCTGCACCTTTTTTTCATGCCTAAGGTGTTTTTGATTCGATATTATGACCTTTTATCAATACACACCAACAAACTCCACCAAATAAGAAAGTGACACTTAATAGTAACCATTATTATCGGAACAAACTTGTTGAATTACCTGAAGAAAGAGTCGGAGTTGCCTCTTCAAATGGTGAGGATTGTGTTTCACCAAATTTTGCTGTTTTTGGTAAAGATGTTGGACTTGTTATCGGTATGCATCTTCTTCTTTTAGAAGGTTTGCTATTTCTTGGACTTAAGATTGGATCCCACTCGTATGGTCTTTTCAAGGTAACACAAGCCATAGTAATTTGCGACTCTGAAGTGTGTTCTGAAACTGTCCAAACAGAGTATGGAACCTTAAAATAGAATAACAAACTATAATTATTGAGCAGCTAACCAAATTTTCTATTTATTAATAATAACAACTTACAAACAGACAACTATGTACTTAGAGAACAAAACAAAAAATCAGCCTGGTCATCAGTATGGCTAATCAAATATCTTTTTCTCACATTTCTACTTACAAAGATTAAAATGAATTGTTTCATCAATTAGGTACCCTTGCGGCTAACAATATTTTTGGCCATAATCCCAATAATATTTCATTAAGCTCAGCCAGCTTAGGAATTTAGTACACAGGATCACATACAAAATTTGTAATGGTTTTCAAACAAGACCCAAAAGTTGAGCACTTTCAAATAGTTCACTATTCTTCTCCTGAAGAATTGTTTCATCAATTAGGTACCCTTGCGGCTAACAATATTTTTGGCCATAATCCCAATAATATTTCATTAAGTTCAGCCAGCTTAGGAATTTAGTACACAGGATCACATACAAAATTTGTACTGGTTTTCAAACAAGACCCAAAAGTCGAGCACTTTCGAATAGTTCACTACTCTTCTCCTGAAGAAGAACAGTGAAATATATGAAAGTGCCCAAGTTTTGGGTCTTGTCTGAAAACAATTACAAATTTTAAGCTTACACTTTATACAATCAAGTAAGCAGCATAGCATATTAGAACTTGGAACAGAGAGAATAATTTAAAGAAACATTCGATGCAAAAACAATTTGAAAATAATGAATTCTCAGAGTGTAGCAATGAAGTTTTTTTTACATAATCCAACACATATTTTCATGATGATAAAAACTGAGAAACAGTTAAGGTTCATATTTGTGATTGCTCGGATGAGCTCACATATTAAAGAGCATGCACAAAACACAGCATATAATCAGTTGTTCATCCTTTGCCATTGTTTACAGGACTGTGACACAAATGTCACTTCTAAACACTTCAACCTCTTGGGTAGCTACACACTAAGGAAAGTTTGTGGATACACAAGATGAATTAAATGTTAACCAAACAGGTTAACAAGTAGTAGCACAAACAGTGATGGATTGAAGCTTTCACAATAGGGATTTATAAAACCTGTATAGTCTATAATAATTGGACAAGGGGTCATAAATTCAAATTTTGGCAGCAAGGAGTCATCTCCAGTTTAGACAGTATTACTTTTCAAACAGGATGGTTGGCTTTTGGAATGAGCTTCCTTCAAGGGTGGAAGAGGCAGAAAAATTTAACCGAGTTTAAGAAAAGGTTAGATGAATACATGAGTAGTAAGGGATGGTTATAGTTGGGAACTGGAAGGGCCATCCTTGAGGGGCTAATAAACTTCTTTTTGCCGCTTTAAAATTTTATCCATTATGTAGATAGAGTATATTAAAAAATGCTGAAATATATTAATATTCATAAAAAACCCATACAGTTATGGTATTATTATTAAAAGCAAGAATATTTAAAACATTTTAAAAATCTACAACTGTAACCCAAATGATTTTTGGCTATACTGACAGACTTCTATCATAAAAATTATAAATGGTGTTTACTTCTTTTTTTCTGTACTTCATTTTAAACTTTTAATTTTATAAAAAATTATAATTATGGTGTTTCACACAGTGTTTCAACAAACCTGACTTACATTAACTTTAAGCATACAATATACTATGAATAATAATAACGTTAAGTAGAGCTTCACAGTTTCATTTTTCACAGATGCAATTTAGCCTAACACTAACAAGTAACGTTAGTCGTTAAATACATAAGAATTGTAATATTAATTTATCATTCAGTCTTTGTCACAGTTGTGGAGTCTGGAAAGTGAATAAATAACTCACCATGAATCTAAAATAATCTCAGATAATTTTAATGAAACACATAACAATGTTCCTTGTTTAAAGCTTCTTAAATCTTTGGACAAGCATTGAAGCATTCTGTAAGTGTAATTATGGTTTCATAAAAATCTCAAAAGAAAACACTACTCCGAATAAGAAGAGTCGCTTACTAAGCCTAACAGAACAAGTCCTTCAATTCCAATTTATTTTTCTTTCTTAATTTTGGTAAGCAATTCGTTTTAAAATAAACGGAAAACCATTCTTGCCTATTGCCCTAAACCTAAATGAAAAATTTACACATATTAAAAATAAACAAATAAAATGAACACAAATTTTACCAGCGTATTTTCAGACTTTCTGCGAACAATGTCCAAACACGCTTAGCAATACAGTTTAGGTTGCATACCATACTTAACGCTCTCAGTTGGAATAAGCCTAAACGAACAGCGCACGCGCTCATCGTTTGCGTAGAGAATAGATTACAGTAATTTAATAATAATGAAATTTGTAATACATACAAATAAATAAACCACCACAGTTACGAAACAACCTGATTTAATTGTTTTATTATAATTAAACAACTTGACTAGCACTAAGTACGAACTTTTAAATTTGATGTTTTATTTGTCTAACATAAATAATATGCCATTTATTTTTTGATTGTATAACATTGCTATTTTTTCACTGCTCTATAGTTCATAATGCAAAGAATTTGACATAGCCTAATGATTAGGACGCCATTCAACTCGCACTCTGCAGATCGTGGGATAAAAATGTGTCGCCGAATATGTTCACCCTTTCATTCGTGGGATCGTAACAACTACACAGTAGAATATGTGCGCTCTGTCCACCACGAAGATCCGAACTCCGAATTATACTGTTATAAGTCCGTAAATTTACTGCTTACCCACTGGATAGAGCGCACATATCCTATTATGTAGTTTTGAGCTAAAAGAAACAAACCACAATCATAATGCGAATATTTATGAAATGGGTTGTCGTGAAATGCTCGTAGAAGCATTAAATATCGATAAAAGCCCGAAATGATGACGCAATGTATTTTAATTGTGATAAGTTTCTATGACATTCCATATTCCTAGTTAGATATATATATTTATACTAGCTGTAGTATTTACTCAGTTATTTTTAGTTTTGATATATTCATACTGTTACGACAGCGGAATTCACGTGACCCTAGTAACACGTCATGAACTTCTAGAAAAATCATGCCCCTTCGTGAAGCCTCGACTGTTCAC